AATCTCAACCACAAGATTACTATTCTACCCCTCAAGGAAACCATTATTACTCCCCTACCCCTCCTCCTCCTCAAGCTCCGATCACTGCACCGTCTCCTCAGCGTGACTACAGGGAATTCTCACCGTCTCCGTATCAATTCACCGATCACTACTATTCCGGGTTTTATTACCCGCCTCCTCCTCCTCCACGTTCGATGTACGATCGTGCCTCAAATTACGGCCTTCAAGGTGGCCCTTCTGCTCCGGTTGATTCATTCTCCTCCATTGATCACAAGCCGCTTCCTTTAGCTCCTCGGTTTCCCAATTACCCTCCACCACAGAGTGGACCATCAGCTCCGGCTGATACTTTTCCGTTGAACGAGTACAAGCCACATGTGGGATCAAGATTGTCTAGCTACGGAGTGCCAAGTGGTCCATCGGCGCCAGTTGATTACTCTCCTTATGATCATAGGCAGTTGCAGAAGACGATGAGTGGATTGAACTTGGAGGAAGAACGAGTTACTGGAGAGAGGTCTGAGAGCAACTTCGGAGCTAGGCCTAGCTACAGCTACAGCTACGGCTCCGATTATCGCCGTGAATGTTAAATGAGGATATGAAAAAAAGTTGTTGAATTTTCATAAGTGTGTGACTTTTCTCTAAGGTTTTACTATCATCATATATACTATCCATGTTGGTGTTTATAGATCACCATGAAAATGGCTGGTGGAAAAAATATGAATTTGGTGAATTTCCTTCAAGGATATGATATGTTTATATGTATTTATTGCTTGCGGATTGATTGGTTGCTTCTTTCTCGTTATTCGGTTTCTGTATGTGTATGAAGAACAAGAGGTACAGAAGGTGTTCAATCACTCCTTTGGTACCTTGGTACATGTTTCTAAACACCTCTAATGTCTTCTCTTCTTTCAACTTCTTGTGTTCAACTTCTTGCATTATTTCTTTCAATTTCTGATTATTGGGTTCTTCGGGGTAATATTCGAATGTGAATCCCTTCTCTGCTCAGTTGATTACTGTTTGAACCATGCTCAGATTAGGTATGGTAGTATGCTCTGTCTCAGATATGAACCGTCCTATCTTCTGCAGTTCTGCATAATACTTTTGCAGGTTGATTAAAGACTTATGCTTAATTATCAGGTGGATCCAATCCCTGTTTGGTGATACCAATGTGTGAGTTTTACTGTCTTACTCTTTTCATACACATTATCAACTCAATGAAGTGGCTAAATTTCTGGAGTATCTCTCTTGTGAGTTGTATTGGAATCAATGATCTCCATTTTTCGAAGTGATAATTCATTTTGGATTACTTTGAATTATGCTCATCACAGTACAGACAAGATGTCTTTCCTCTTGGTTATAGTGTTATGTATATGGTATAGTTGGTGCTAAATCTATTCTGTTCTTGTTTTGACGATGCGACAGAGCTTTTGTGCTATTGCATTCTTTTCCCTTTTGGCATTTTTGAAAGCTGCCATACATGCCAGTCAATCTCATGCAATTAGAATCTAATCACTGATTTTATCATCCAGGAACTGTTGTTCTGATCTCAATGGAATGTTTTCACATGTAAAATCACTCTGCAGACTCCAAAGTGTGATCTTCTATTTATGTCCTGACACTCCCTGGTTTATTATATGCTTTCTCATATTCTTGTGCCCACCATTAACTTGGTTTTTTCCTCCTTTCTTTTGTAGCCTCAGGCTCATGAAAGGAATCTGCAGTCCATAAAGGTAAGTCTATATCGGCCTCTCCTAGAGTCAAAAAGAAACTTTTTTCAGATTTTTATGTGCACACATGAGTGATCATCAAAGAAGAATGATACCAAGTGATTGCTTCATATAAAAGAACCTTTTTCTTCACTTAAACAAAGGGTTTATATTTCCTCTGTGGACCGTAGAGAAAGAAATGAAAAACTAAACCTAGTCTTCTCTTTTTGCTCTTGGCCATAGCTCTCTTTATAAATCCGCTTTATCAACAATTCCTTTTTCATATAGGATCTAGAATAAGTTTTAAGCTAAACTTTTTCTTTACTTGTTTATGTGTTTATCTCTTGAGTGCTTAATCATAGCCTAAGTGTAATGATGTTATTGGTACATCATTAATCATGTCTTTTCCCGTCTTTGCCTAAACTGTCAACCCAACTGTTCTCAGCATCAATTCCTTTATATATCTCTCAATATCCTCGTATTGTTTCCCATAAACCTCTCTCACTCTCTCTTGATATGTCAGCTACTGGAACAAAACGGTTCAACACAAACACTAGACCGATTCAGAGAGATGCTTCGGTTAAGCAAAGCGCTATCAAGGGACCTTATAAGAGCCCCGGATGCACAACGAGCTGCGGGTTGAGGTTACCAAGGAAAACAGAAGTCACAGCAGCAAGACTGATCAAGCATCTTGGCTGTAAATTTGCAAAAGGTTTGCGTCTGGTGGTGATGAGGAAGAAGAAAAGATCTCCACCGTCGAAGGGTTCTTCGTGTTCCTCTGGGAGATCTCAGCCATCGATCATTCCCATAAGCAATGACAGTCATCGATCAGAAGCCATAGAAGACTGTATACAGTTCATCAACTCATCATCCTCCTTCACCAGATCAAATTCTACGTCTTAAGTTTTCATCACTCTCAAGTCTTAAACCCTTTGTATTGGTCACTCATTGTCTATTTGCTTATTTGTAAGAATTACATGTAATGTCTATGTAAGTCTACATGCGACGACTTTTGTTCTTCTGTGTACAAGTAAATATTTATGTTTTACATGAGTTCTCAACTTCCTCGATTTGCAAATACATCATGATCAGTTCTAATAATACTGTTTTCTTTCGATTCCTTAATAATATTTAAAAAGTGTTCGTGTGTAACAATTTGTATCACTTTATTAGTTGTGTAGTAGAAAGGAGGCTTTATTTTATCCAAAAATAAAGTTAAACAATAAATTAAGGGCTGCTATATTATTATGGCCACCAGTTTGTTTAACTTATTAAGCACCTTCAGTGAACATGATAACACCTGAAGTATATAGTCTATACATATATCATATGTGTGCGCATGTGTAAACATCGCATAGCCTAAAATGATTTCTACCTTAATAAAGTTTTTTTACCTAATTCCATCATATCTTTTAGTAGGAAATGATTGCAAATTCTTGGTCGTGTTCGATTGTTATATAATTTGTTATACAATATCGTCTACCAAAAGTTAAAATTCCCACTAATCGTCTATATAATAATACAACCATTTGTTAATGTTGAACGACTGAATTTTATACATGTAAATATTATTATATCAATCAAAAAGCAAATCAATCATTAACATGAGCCGAAATATTTGTCGGCATGTGTACAATAAAAGAAAAATCAATCGATGGAAAATAGCTGATATTCATTCCACT